CAAACTAAACCAGTTCTTCACTTTACCTTTACTCCCTCAACTGCCCCTCTAATTAGAACCTTCATAGATAAATTAGACACTTACTCCCAAGAATATGATATGGAAGAAAGTAAAGACTTCACTTCTTATCCTATCACCCACAATCAAAAACACCAAACCATCCTAAAATTAGGCAATCTTTGCCCTTGCGATCCTGCCAAAGTCAGAAATCAATACTTAGATAATTGACACTTAGACTATTATTCCGACCACTGAAGAAGAACCATCATGTAGAATAAGAGACACTTATTAGCCGATTCCATGATTCTATCGGCTGGAAACAATTGAGTCCAATTAGATAACTAATAAAAGTTAGTTCTTCTACTCCTAGCCCACTAATTGGATGCTCCCGCCAACTTGATGTAGGGTTAGGAGGCCAATTATTAAATTCTATGCCTAACACTATATTTAAATGCTACTCTCTCATTTGCTCTTACACTACTGAAAATAAAGAAGAATTAAAACAGCACGAAACACAAAATCACTCAAATGAAACTCCAAATTAAAGCCCTCTTAATAGAACTTGAATCCAAGTTAGATAAAAACTCCAACCCTTTTTATCGCTTAAAATTAGGAGGCTTCCCCGATTACTTCTATGCTTTCTCTACTGACTACTCTCTAAACTCTACCACTCTCAAAAAGCTTCAAGCAAGCCCTTCAACCTTCTTAAACCAATTAGTGCTAATTACTTATGAAGAATCACCTAATAAAGAAAACTCTGGTAATTTTAAGCAGGTGAAAGAGGTGGAAGTATTGTAAATACTCTAATTTTTGGGTTCCACTTAAACTCCCGCCCAAAAACTGAATCTAATTTTTTTTCATCTTCGGATTAAAGGGAGTTAACAAAATATCAGAAATTGTTAAGTTATTCAGTGAAAAACCTATCCAATTCATAACCAACTTAACAAAAATGCTTATTGCTAACTTAACATTTTTAAAAACCCTGACTTTTTTTACTTTAATAATGAATTGAAAATATGAATCAACAAATTTATAAAAATGGCTGTTGAGGTTGCAAAAGAGCCCAAGAAGATCCTTCTGAACAAATATATCTGCCCTAAAGAAAAACAGCACTTAATTGAATATCAAAAACAAGCAAATGAATAATCTCACTAATTCACAATTACTCCAGGAAATTCAAAAAAGACTAAACACCAATAAAATTGGCTTTTGGATCGAAAACCAAGACTGTTATTTATGGGAAAACACTTTCCATTACACTAATAAGATAAAAGTAGGTGATTTATCCCAAACCAAAGAGAACTATTTTGCTAAGTTTATTAAAGAATTAGAAAAGGTCGCTAAAGAACGCCAAGAAAGAGGAAATTTTTTAAACACTAAATTTCAAGAAATCTCGGATGTGGAATTAATTAATGAACTAAAAAAAAGAACCCAAAGCCAAGCCATCAAACTGAGTATGTATCCTAATCACCAACATATTTTTATTGAAGGCAAAGATATAAAGTGTGAAACTATCACTCCCTTACCAATTGAAATTAAAGAAAAAGTAGAATAGGAAGCCTTAACCGAAAGCAAAAACAAGCAAAAATAATATGCCCCAATCCAAAAAACTTCAAAAGCAAATCGAAAGCAAATTAGATAAATTATCAGAATTATTAGACGAAATTGAAGAAGTTAGAGTAATCAACTCTGATGATCCTGATACTTGAGACTCTGATACTCTTTATAACTTAGTAGAAAACTTAAAAGAAGCCCTTAAAATTTTACAAGATCAAATAATTAAAGGAAAATACGATGAATTTTACCAACCTCTCTTAGAAGATGGTCTCTGTTCTTTAGTAGATGAATATCATTCAGAAGATGAAAATGAAAATTTTTAAAAAAATGAAAAAACAATTAGACCAAGTTTTAAACTTCGCTCAAATTCAAATTCTTTGTTTATCTCCCTCTAATCTCCATTTACCTAAAAGGCATGATAAACTCTTAGAAACTGTGCTTTTAATGGGCTATCTAGGACTAAGAGTATCAGAAGCCATTAATTTTACCTGACAAACTATTCCAGTAGAAGAAAAAGCAGCTTTCTTAGTCTCTGGTAAAGGGAATAAACAAAGATTAGTCTTCAATCTTTTAAACAATTCTTACATCACCAAAAAATCTAAGTCTGATATTAGTAAAGTCCAGTGGAAAACTATCTCTAGAATAGCAGTTTGAAACTATTTAAAAAGAAAGTCTTCTGAACTAGGACTTAATTGGACCATTACTCCTCATACTCTCCGCCGTTCTTTTGCCAGTATCCTGCATTATGACCTAGGAATAGATTCTAGTTCTATTCAGCAATTATTAGGTCACTCCCAATTTAGAACTACTGAAAAATATTTAAAAAAAGATGTGCGGTTCTTACTGAATAACTTACAAAGAAAGGGATTTTTACTCTAAATATGACTAGACCTAGAAAACTTCACTCCCTAAAAGGAACCATTAAATACTGCTGATCAGCCACTTCTAAATCTAAAATCTATAAAAACCAACCCTTTTACGGTTTAGAAATAGAACTTCACTCTTTATTTACTAAGTCTGAACTAACTATTTATGCTTTTCCTAACTTAGTTAGTAAAGATATCTGGAATACTCTAAAATCAGAGACTTATAAATCAAAACTCTATAATTTCTTTTGTGAAAAAAGAACTAGAGGATGAAGATTAAAGAGTTGAGAAGAAATAACTAATGAAAAAGCCTATTAAAAATAAAAAAAATAATAAATACTGCTGTTATTTAGCCTATTTCAGTGATCTGAAAAAAAAGAAAGTAATTAATATAACTGATTAAGAGAAATTTACTGCACCAAAAAGATATTGATAAACCAAACTATCCTAACCGGAAAAAGAAAAAGTAATCAAAGAAAATAAATAGTTATTAAATAACTAATATAGATGAAACTGCCTAAGTTAATTACTATTACTGAACAAAAAAGAAGAGTTTATCCAATTAAGTTAGTAATTAATAATCGGAAGTTAGATGAATTAATTATTGACCCTCATTATGAAAAAAAGCATGGTAATTACCTAACTGATGAGATTATTTATAATTTTGCTTTAGAAATAAACGATAAAAAAGTTATCATTGAAGATAGAAAAAAGTCTTATGAATACTTTTCTTATCGACCATTGTTTATAGAATGAAGAGCCTATAAATTAGTCTGCTGTTTAGAAGATGATAAAAACTATTTAGGTATTATTGACTGCTACCGAAGAAAAAAATATGATAAAAAAAAATAATTACACTTTTAAGAAAGAAACAACCAGAGATTATTCTTTTCCTCCCCAAGAGGAACTAATAAGAATTAGAAAAAAATTCTCTAATCCAAAACATGAGGGGGGGAATATTGCTTTATTGGAAGATGCTGATGAAATTGAAAAAATGAAATATAGTGTAAGTCAAAGCATCTTAAATTATCATCTTGAAACTAAGAAATCTTTAGCAACAATAGTTCGAGAAATAGGTTTAACAGGTCTTACCGAAAAAAAACTTTATGATATTTGTCGCGGAAAAGTTAATGATTTCAGTTTAGGAGAGTTAGTAATCTATGCGAGTAATTTAAGAATTAATTTTATTCCTTGTTATAATTGTGGGGTTAATCTTTTTCCTTCCTTGTCAGAAGCATTAATTTTATCTTTGAGAGAACAAGAAAGTTTGCTAATGAAAGACTTAGACATTCACAAAAAGTTAGTTCATTGTTATCTTTAAGAACAATTCAAGATTGAAGGAAAAAAAGTGGCTAAGAAATTTATTAAAACTTCCTAAAATCAATCACTTCCCAAATAAACAAAAAATTCTTCCCAATTCACCTCTTTTTTACCTCCTCCAAAATCCTAATTTTCAAAACCCTAAATTCCTTAGTTTAGCACTACTTTTTTGGGAGAATTCTCCAAAGGTATTTTTCCCTTAAATCTAAAACTAAAACATGGTGACACCAGACAACCAAAACACCTTGATTATAGATAACTAAATTTGAACAAAAAATGAAAGACCTCCGCTATACTCCTGAAGATGTTAAACTAGCTTACCAAATAGTTAGCCAAGACTTATTCAACTCTTTACTAAGAACTTCCGAATCTAAAATTAAGTTAGGCAACTTAGGTAAGTTAGTTAAGCAAGAAAGACGACAAAAATGTGGTTGAGATGGTCAGAATTATATTTACTACTCTCTAAAGTTTAAACCTTTTAAAAGACTTAAAGAAGCCCTGAATGAGCAGATTATCAAAAAGTATCGACTATAATGTTTACTAAGCAGTGAGATAAAAGATATCTACTTTTAATAATGGCTTTTGTCTGCTTAATTCTTTATTTTTTTGGTTCTAACCAAAATTTACCAGATACCAAGTTTTTAAGACCTTTTGGTTACTTATGCCTTGGTCTAGGAGGTATGCTCCAGTTGATGACTAATTAATTTTATGAAAGATTTTTTAAAACAATACTGACAAAAAGAATATTTACTACTTATAGCAGCAGTAGTATGTTTACTAGTTTACTATTATCGCAATGAATTAGACTCTAAAACTCTGACTGATAATCTTCCTATTTTAGGAGGACTCGCTTTTGGTTTAAATACTCTAGTGCAAATTGCTAAATAATTATGCCCCTATTAGAAGAAATGACCAATCCAAAAAAAGAAGAATCAACCAACCCTAATAATCAAAAACCCAATACTCTAATCACTACTTTGGGTTCTTTATTACCTTTTGCTCCGCTAATTTATGAACAGTTTACCGGACAAAAAGTTCCTCAAATGAGTGGCACCCTAGTAGAGATGCAAAGCACTCTCTTACAAATCCAAACTAGTTTACACTCTTTAAACCAAAGACTAACTAGTTTAGAAAGTAGTGCTTCTCAGCAACTAAATAATTTAACCCACCAATTTAAAAATTTAAGACTCACCCATACCAAAGAACAGAAACAGATTGAATTTGACCGATCCCAAGAAGAAAATAATTAACCTACCATGCTTGATATTAATACCCTTGCCCCTTTAATCCTCCAAATTGAAAAATTTACCCTTAACCAATTAAGAACCCACCAATTATTAGAACAAATACTCGAAGAATTCAAGAAACAAAGAAAATAATATGCCAAACATTGACCAATTAAAAAAACCTTTTACTAAAAGTTCCGAAAATCAAAGACTAAATGTTAATCGCCAAGATATTTTTTATCGAGATGACATTCAAACTCTTTTTATTTATTCCTTAGTAGGAATTGCTGGCTCTTTAGGAGTAGCCGGAATAGTATACGTAGTAGGTAAAAAATTAACCGCCTAATAAATTATGCAAGAAACTAATTGAAAATCTTATATAGACTGATGGCCTACTTACTTAGTCTTAGGAATAAGCCTAGCTTATTTCATCGACCAGAGTGGTGTCATCCAAAAACTAACCAACAAATTGTTTAAAAAAGAAGAGGAGTAGTATTGCTACTCTTTTATTAACCCCAATGAACCAACCATTAAATTTATCCGAACTAGAAACTATCATTACTTCTTTACTAACTGAAACTAGATGTTCTTGCCACATCATTAATCCTCATAAAACTAGGATTTTAATGTGGAAAGTAAAAGATGGTTATCATTTAAGAATTGGTATCCAGAAATTTACCTCCCAAGAACAGCAAGATAGAAATGGAGAAGTATATTGAAGATATTTTGACTTTAAAGAAGAATCAACTCCTTTAACTAACCAGCCAACCCAGTATGCAACCAATACTGAACCATCAACTAATCCCGCCACTGTTTAATACTATTCAGCAATTAAGCACTAGCTTAAAAGCTGCGCAACCCCTTAGTTTAGATAATAAAGATATCCAACTAATCACTTATGCTTTGATAGCCACAGCAGTAGTAGGTATCTTTGTTTATCATTACATAAAGGAAAACGAAAAAAATGATTAACTTAAAAGACTATCTCCCGGACTTCAAAGGAGCTTTAAAAGGCTTTTATGAAGAGAGTTTAAAGAATACTGTGGAAAGCAAAACCCAAGAATTCAAAACTCTTTTAGAAAGAAATATCACCCATGGACAAAAAACTCAGAAAGCCTTAGTAGCCATTGCCTTAGGAGTATTCTTACTCTTACTAATTGCTTATTTTTGAAAGTAATCTCTAAAATTAACCGACCCCTTTTTTTACCTTACCCATTTTATTACCCAAGAAAGTTAAAAACAAAATCAAACAAATCTATGAATCCAGAATTAAATATGAGTTATCGCTTCAAGTATATTGCCTTAGGTCTAATTACCTATGTAGTAGCCACTTATGCTTGGAAAGTGTATAAGAAAGAATAAGTCACAGACTTATCTTTATAATTAAAAGCCTATGCTTAACCAAATACTAGAAAATAAATGAATTATCATTGGAGTAGTAATAGCCCTAGTTGCTATCTATTACTTTTACCAAAATTACCAAACTAACTAATGAAAAAAAACAAAGAATGCTTAGGGTGTGGGGATAATTTCACTACTTTTAAGAACTATGATTACTGTAAAGGTTGCCAAATAAACAATAGCCGCTACCTTAACAAAAATAGTTCTTGTTCCGAATGTGATGGTTCAGGAATAATTAAGTTCCCTAAACAAAAATCTCGCCCTTGTAAACTCTGTTCTTTAACCAAAACTATGAAGAAAAAACTAACTAAAAAAACTAGTCCTAAACTAACTGAAGAAGAAAAAGAAGAACAGTTTTGAGATCAAGTAGACTTACTGGCTCAAGAAAAGATTTACCAATTATTTACTAAAAATATCCCTTTTCAAAATATCAAGTTGATTACTGAGTCTTGAAAGTTTGAAGATAGACAACAAAAACTAAGTGGATTATTCCTAAGAAGAGATGTTGATTATCGGACTTTGTTAAGTGATATCCAAGAACAGTCTAGTAAAGAAACTTCCGACCTCGATTACTTAGCCGAAGAAATCGCTGTTTGATACTCTCGCTTAGTGATGAAATCTCTAATTGAAGATTTAAGCGACTATTCTGGTTATGATCCTTCTTTATTCTCTGATCTAACTTCCAATAATTACTAATTATGCCTAAAATAGATAAAATTAAACCTAAGAAAAAAGCCACTAAACTAGCGACTAAACATTTACCGACCTCTCTTAAATCGAACCCTAAAAAAACCAAATCTAAAAAACTTAACTTACCAGCCAAAACTAAACAAAAAATCCGAGAGACTGAAAAGAAAAAAATCCTCCAAAGTTGAAAACAAATTGGTTTAAGTTTAGGCAAAATTATTGCTAACGCCTAATTATTATGAAAAAAGAACCTCTTATTTTTATGTCCCTTTTAGGAGCAGTAGGTTATATCACCTTCCATGGTCACCCTAAAAACCAAGACTGCTGACTCTGTTCTTATAGAGGACTAGCCTTTATGGGTAGTTCAGTTCTGTTAGGAGTTTGATTAGCTTTTCAGGAAAGTGATTAATTATGGATTGCTGTGAACTAGCCTTATATAACGGAAGATTAGCCCTCTACATTGCCTCCTGAGCCTTTGGAACTATTGCTTTACTAATAGTGGTAGCTTTTGGTTACAGTCTGAAATGAAAAAAACAGCAACTAGAACTCAGCAAAAGGACCAAAAAGTTAGAGAAAAAAAATGGCCATGAACAGCATCAGATAGATGAGTTAAAAAAAGAGATTGAGCAATTAAAAAGAAATGTTTAGAACTTGCCTGTTGTGCCAAAAGAAATATTGGTTAGGTTCCGAAAATATCTGCTGAACTTGTTTGCCTCCTTTAAGAATTTAAAATATGAATAAAGAAATTTTAATTATTGCCTTAATATTGGCTCTTATTTATCTCTATTACCAAAATAGAAAACTAGCCCAATTACCCACTAATTCCGGTAATTCTACTAGCCCTATTTTTGAACTAGATGAAGATAAAGAAGACTTAATTGCGGAAAAAGATGTCGCTATCCGTTCTAAAAACGAAGCCGAACAAGAAGTCTTATCTTTATCTAACCAACTTCGCAATAAACAGCAAGAAGTAAGTCGGAAAGAAACTGAGATAGAAAGATTAAAATCCGAAAAAAGTAAAGTTGAAATATCTTTAAATAAAAAACTTTCAGAAAAAAACGGACTAATTACTACTCAGCAAAAGGAACTAAACTCTCTAAAAGAAAAATACAGCAAGCAAGGAAAACAATTAGATGAAGAACAGTTAGAATGTAAGAAATTGGAAGAGAAAGTAGAAGAATTAGAAACTAAAATAAAAGAACTAACTAAATCTATGCCTGGTAGTTGAGATGACAAAGAATGACCTAGTTTAGACAGTAGTAAAAAAAGTAAGAAGTAATGACTAAGCAAGCCTTCCAAAAAGAACTCAAAGAGAAAGTAAAAGAAGGGGTTAAACCCTCGGATCTTAAAAAGTTAAAAAGAAGTAAGTCCGCTGATGATATTAAAGAAGAAACTAAATATCCCTATACTACTCTAATTAGTCAGCAAGAAGAATTAGCTAAACTAAAAAAAGAAACTACTGCTAAATCAGATACCATTAAATTACTTCGCCAAAAAATCGAAGACTTAGAAAAAACCAACCCACCCTCCCAATTATTAACCGACCAATTAAAAGAAAAACAAACCCAAATAGAAAATTTACGAAAACATTTAGAAACTACTAATCAAGAACTAACTACTCTTAAAAAAAACCATTCTACTCTTTTAGATACTAATCTAGAACTAAAACACCAAGGATTAAAAGACTGATGAATACAATACTCTGAAAATAAAGAACTAGATGCTGAACTAACTGAGAATATAACTGAAGCCAATAATGAATTAGAGAAGCAAGACCAAACTATTAGTCAGTTAAGAACTCAAAACTCTCAATTACGCCAAACTAACCATTCTTTACAAAAAGACTTGGATTTGGCTACTAAATTAGCCGAATTGAGAAAAACTCCTTTACCCCCTTCGGAAACTAAATGAGATTATCTCTTCTACTTCTTATTTACTGCTTGCTTTATTAGTTTACTAAATACCTCCTGAAAAGTTTATCAAAAACATGAATAATCTCTTATTTTCCGCCTTAGTAATAGCACTTATCTATTACTTCTTTTACCTACCCCCAAAGAAAAATATTAGTCACCCATCCCTAACTAATAAATATACTCAAACTGATGAAACTACTAAGGAAAATAAAGAGGTGCAAACAGAATTCATTACTGATGAAAAAGTTTTAAAAAAAACTATTCAAGAGTTAAAAAGTGATTTACAGGATTATAAAAATGAAGCCCAAGAGTGAAGAAATAATAAACAAAAATTATTAGAGAAGATAAACTTCTTCACTGAAAATAAAGAACTAATTAAAGAAGCAGTAGAAACTCACCTAAACTTGGCTAGCAGTTTTCTTACCGAACACTCTTATCCTGAACTTGCAGAAACTAAAGAAGAAATTAGAAAGTTAACTCTCAAAATAGAAGAACTAGACCAAGAGATTACTAGTCTGGAAAAATATAATAAAGAAGAAAATAAAGCAAGGATTACCCAGCGTAGAGATGAAAAAGGTTTGTTACAAGCTAGATTAAGCAATCTAAAAAGATGACTAGAAGACCCTGAATACCCAATCATTAGTGGTTTTCAAAAACAGAAAGTAATAAATGAAAGAATAGTAAAAGAGTCTAAAGAACTATTAGAAAAGTTAGCCAGAGTGTAAAAAAGAATTAT